GCGTACTTGATGTGTCCACAAGCTAACCAACTACAACAAACAGACGAAATTATATCCGCCGGCATGCTGTAGAACCGGAATCGGAATCCCTCTTGTGCTCAGCTGCAATCCGAGAAGAACGTGGGATTGTGCTTTAACGTTTCAAAGGATTATCAACAGGTTGGGTGAGTTGCAAGGAAGCGAAGTTGCCGAACGCTGTGATGTTAACATCGTTAAGTATATATATGGATGCATTGCTGGGTGACGGACACTCAAGTCCAGTCCACGGCATATCGATCAGCTAAAACGACGGAATAACTAGAGGAAGATTCACTTGGAGGCAATGCATAATTCAGATTGACTGATTTCTGATAACCTCTGTTGATAGTTGAGCTAAACTGCTTATCTAACCATTGTGTATACCATCAAAATTTTACTTTTGAAGCGGACTAACAACTAGACCCAATTAAGCGACGTATTCTAAAATGAAATTTAATTCATATCCGCATCATCGAATATTTTAGTATCTATCGCTTTTATTTTCGATTTGAAATCAGAAAACATTCAGAAGTTCATATACAACAAATCGGTGACAGGAAACTGTACTACAGGTATATTATTCCACGCACAACGTATAAAAAGCACAAGCAGACCATATGTACCTGGTCTTGAATTAACCATGAATGCACAAAGATACATTTGGCATACTAACTGTAGACCACTCTTTATCACTTGTCCTGCGTCAATACTCTCCCAAATGGAATGCTTCAGAAATACTTAGTGAAGTAACTCATGTTTAAAATGGGCCCAAGGTAGTTACATTCGTAAGCGACAGGAGCAAACATTTGTGATTGCGCGCAACGCAGCATGGTTTACGAAGATAATATCGAATACGCTTTATACCTAGGGCAAAATAAGCGATATCCCTGTTGGTCCGTGAAATACAGCAAAATCGATTACTCTTAATCTTAGAATGATGTACAAGATCATTCACCGTCGAAATATGAAGTAGAGTTTTGCTCTACTCCGGATAGTCGACAGGCTACGAGTTTGTTTACTGGCATAAGGAATACACTAAGGACGCAATACGCACACATATTCCTACGGGTATTTCAATCAGGCGCCTGCCCTGCTATTGTTAATCCTCTAAGTTGCTTCACTGGAATAACTTTCACCACAAACCTGCAAGTGGAAACATACGTCGCTGCTCGACTAGGAAATTTCTGCATTATACGGGTCGCCTGAAAACCATGTGGTCATAAGCTATTAAACTGCTGGATACTTTGACAATGCGTACATAAAAATAAAGTTTATAATATCCGGAGCCTTCGAGTGATAATTGCCTAATAAAAGGACAAAGTCTTGATGATCCTTCGAAAGACTACTTTTGACTCTTCTCATAGTAAATAAATACTTCTTTATTTTTTTACTATGCGATACACTGCCCATTATGTTGATCAGAGTAGAATTTATAAGGTTTCGTTAATTTGTTAGCGATACAGATAAATAGAAAATAAAAGGGCGGAGAACTCATCATTAAACTTTGCCAGCCAGACCCCTTAGAAAAGCAGTACAAATCAAATGCTGAAAAGTAGTTTGCGAAGATGTTTCTATGTATTTTTGGTTATTCATATACTTGCAAATCATTGCCACATGGTGTAGGCTGTCATAAAATTGTGGTTGGGAGCGCCTTCTGCTAGATTGATTCTCCATGTAGAGGTACGTGATCGATACGTCCAGCATCCAGGCGTAGTAGAATATTTTCTGCAGTATTTGGACGAGTCTCAGGGAAAAAGTTATGCTGGAAAGACGGAGGACAGGTTACAAGATTTGTAAGTCAAGAAGACTGTAACGGTTAGTTCAGTTTTACAAAATGTATAATATGGTGAGGAATATATTATACAGGTTAATAATAAAATAATGTTACCCAATATGATGAAATGCACTACTGCCGGTGCTTTGCTGGCTCAGCTAGCAAGCAACAGTTATCGAGCAGCACAGATTGCGTATATATTGGACGAACACTATGAAGTTACTTTGAACAAAGAGAAGCTTGGCAAAACTAAATGAAGATGACGACTTTGATAATATAACTTAGATATTTCCAAGCATTCTCTTCCCTAAATTAGCAGATAATACTTCTCAATCTTTAAATTTCATAACGCCTAATGACGAGCATTAAAATATTCGACACCAGATGGCACTTGTTCCTGACGTTTGGCTGATCCTTATTTCTATGTGTAACAGTAATGTATTATTCTTTCAGTCATACACTCTAATAGCACGTTTGTACATGATACTCATTGATCATAGCATAAAGTTTAGTCTTGCAATTTTTTCAGCTAATATTATCAGGATATGCATGATACTTACGGTGAGTGCAAAGCAGCGTTTATCTGAGTGGGACCCAGTTACAGAACAGCAACGCATAAGCCACAATTGCTTTCAAATGGAAGTCACTACATAACAACACCGCGGTCTCAGTGACCGTATTGGAAGAGGCTAGCGTCAAAGTCAACCGAGGTCACGATTGTGATTGCCTGTCCCAATCCAAACACACGGCTGATGCGGCAAATCCCGAAAATCTACTTCTAACCGCTCACGGATCTCAATGGCCTAGTAATCACAGCGATGGACGGCAAGCACTATGTGTCGTGTTCCAATCACAGCTATTTTATCTTTACCTAATGTGTCTAAACAAAGACTAAGTCATCGGTCGTGGAGTGCAAGGATGGAAGAGAGCCACGCGGAATATCTCCAAAGCGGCTACTCTTACAGCTTCATAAATATTTTACCGGAGCCATCCACTTGTAAACTTTAACAAACCCTAATCATTCAACATGAGTAGGGTACACCAAACATCTGGCCTTAAAGATGTATACACAAGTAGATACTTATGCTTTAGATTTATTTTCCTGTAGAATTTGTGCTTCAATACCGGTAACCCAGGTTAAACCGCGATATCAGCCTTGTGGGCAGCCCCAGAATGGAGTATTTCAGTACGCCAATCCAATACTCTAATTGTACACATGAACAAAACTGAAATTCTAAAGATAATTTGACAACATCATGCCTCTCTAACGATGTGACTTCATAATATCGTGTATGACGTTGCACAAACCTATTGATATATACTTCACTTCGAGGCAGCTGAAGATAAGCATCATCGTGATGAGATAATTCCTAGGAGCTGGCAACATATGCAAACTCCTGGAATGTGGACGAACCTTTTGTCCTGTTTTTATATAATAAGCGCTATTAGATTTGGTCCTTCCCGCACAGAAAATTTATATTTGAACTACGGTTTCATGGTGCGATTGGCCACGTGCATTATATTCGTGTGGTAAAAGCGTTTAATTCCATTTGTTGGAAAAATTTAGCTTCCTCTGTATCAACAAACCACGTCGAGTAACTGCAAGAAATGACGGATTGCTCAAATGCATATAAATAATAAAAGCCTTGTTTTGTCGGTAAGCAAGTAAATTATTTCCCACTCGTCATTGTTGACGATAATGCCGGACCACCGAAGGTGACTGCTACAACCATAGACTTTAATTAGATTAAAATATTTGTTTATCGTTCGGTTAGATGTTTACTTTCGGTAAACCAATGTATCAGTAATTATTTCGACGATGTATAAAACTCAGCATATGAGAGCAATCACTTCAAAAGCAGCATAATAATGTAAAACGCAGCCACGTTGCAGCAACATCGCTGAGACTAGACGCTGCATGTGTATAACTATGACGTACACCTCATATCTGGATGATTTAGGGTGTCGTGAGGTAGAATAAGATGAAATTATTTGATGGTTAAATGACCCCTTTTATTCTCTCTATGAGCATCAGATGTCATCCGTGTAGGGATAGCTTATTCCTACTGCGTAAAATGTCCAGTTATCATACCTAAGACCTAGATTTGCACCTTGAAATTTCGCTGCTAAGAGAGGTGGTATTTTAAAGATAATCCTTTGAATGCATTTCACAAAATTTTAAGCTTCGAATTATTGATATTATTATGCCATCAGGACATCATTTAGTCTAATTTGGTAGCAACCATTACCAATTTCAAACCACACAACGGTAAGCAACAGATATCATATAACTCAAAGTGAATGCAACTTGCATCAGGAAATCTATGAGCAAATTGGAAGATTTGACACTTAATTTATTTGCATTAATCTGATGTTAACAAGTGGATTACAAACCTAACAACTTTTCAGCCATCTTTACCAATTTGTCATATTTCCTTATGTTTATCATGACAGCATTACTTTTAGTCATTTTCTGAAATGTACTAGAAAGGAGCCAAAAGCTGCATTTAGTTTGACTGATTCACAGATCCCGGAATTTGATAACGTTTATTTCGCTGAAAGAATCACACTTTCAAAAATCTATAACATAAGTGTATAATAAGGCAAAGTTTCAAAACTATTTAAGTCTGCTTTAGAGAAAAGCGTAAAGTTGAGCAGAATCACAAGGAACTCAACTGACCACAATGCCTGTTTAAAATATTTGGGAATATGTGTGTGCAATTGACTGTACCTTTTCAATTGTATATCAGTTATATATGCATAAAAACATTTAGACAGAATATCGGAGAACAAATTAATTTTTTTGTTTCCAGGCTTAAGGACAATTCTGTGAATTAATTTGCCATAAATAAAGTCAAATTGTAAATAGGATCCATGTGGATATACAGGTCCACGCCAAGTTAAGCATTATATGCCTTGTATCATTTTTACTGGGCGATTATGTACACACTCATGTCCCAATATTCTTGCCAGTTTGAGTTGGTCACCCTTTTAAATACCAAGGATTTCGAAAAGCCAGGCTACACAAGTACTCAAATTTATCGTGTTTGTCTGTTATGTCTTCTAGATTGCAAATGGTGGTTTCACTATAGCGAGGCTCATTGTTTTATTGCTTGAACAACAAATATTTCTGAAAACCAACTTACTTGCGCGCAACTTTATGCTGTAATTTCGGCATACATTTTATTCATCGGCCTCGTCCTCACAGAAATACTTTTTGGTTCTCATGTGGCTGGGAAATTTTCTGGAGGCCATTGTTTTAATCTGGAGCAAGAGCTGGAATATTGCGCGCAAAGGCATAAGGTTCAAATACCAAAAAACACATTCGGTGGCTACAGTTTCGGCTACGGATCACTGAATGAAACAGACGCCATGTGTAGGTAAGTCATCTATACATTATATTTTATCTCACGACGCAGTTAGCCATATAATCAAAGGATGCATTTAGCATTATCTAGAAGTAATACATTTGGCATATTGTTGGTTAACTCACAATGAATAGACTGGATAGATTATCAAATGCATCTGTTTTCTACATTATATATGCAGTCACTAGTTATCGTGAAGGATAGTGAGCAAATAGCCTTGTTACGAAAGATGCCTCAATAAGTCTGCTACGTCAGTGCAAAACTATATGCTCTTCCGTATTCATAATGCTACTTTAGGAGCAATTAGATATTTAAATCTGCACAACTCCCATGAAATATAATCAGATATATTCCAAAAGTATCAGACATGTTGCTTCCGTAAGCGCTATTCAATTCCTTAGGTAGCTTTTAAAAATATCCTACTTAGAGTATCACGGGAATCACATTGGTTACAAGTCATTGTTTATGTACCAGCAATATGTGAATCAAAGGCCGTGAAATGTTATTACAGCAACGTATATGATTTTATAGTAGGCAACAAATTTGACAAATGAAAGAATCACTGTGTACATTTAATGAATGGTACTTGTTTAGGTGAATATTCCTTCAAAAATGAGTAGAAACCTCACTACGCTTAATAGGACAAAACATGACAAGATGTTTTATATGGCACAATTGCTAGAATTCCAGGCAAATTTGTGCGCTGTTTGCTTTACGCTTCGTCTTTAAACTTGTCGTTATTCTTGCTTAATATGCCTTTGCACGTGGCCACACAAGTTGGGCTGTACCTTTTCTAAGTGCAGCATTTTGCAGATCTTCTGCGTTATGGATGCGCAAACATTAGCTCAACAATAGATGCAACTTGACAAAAGAAAAAGGAAATTCCTTTATTGTAACTGCTACATTTCGGCCAACACAATCTGCTTCACAGCCTATTTACATTGCGTGCCGACAGTCGTGAGTAAAAAATGGATGGGTGATTAGGAATTTGCACAAAACTTTCGACCACCAAATTCCGATTTTGCTACTGTTTTTGACCACAAACTGCCACAGATAAAATAATGTATTTGGACCCAAAGCGATTTGGAAATTAAATTGCTATGTCCCCTTTACAGTGAATTAACAAACCTTTAAAGAAAAAATAAAAAGTGCAGTTGATTGGTTACTGAGAAGATTGCAGTTCTATAGTGATTTGATAGGACTTTCGTGTTTGCTTGTGATAAATATATAAAACCGGCTTTAAATATATCGCTTTCTCAAAACATAAATTCCTTGAATAAAACAGTATGGTAGTTTGCAGTACATAGATGTTGCCATTGTTTCCTTTTCATGAAAAATTAAAATTTCCAACTCCCGTGAAGAACAAAATGGCATATTCTTATCTTCAAATGTTTACGAAGACGTTCAGAGGAAACGTGTCAAAACTCCGAAGAAGCAATTACTCATCAACTAATTTGGTCTATGTCACTAGAGACGGAGAAATTTGAGCGAGCCGCTGCTTATATTTGCCACGAACATAATTTGCGAAGTAATCGCTGCATAAACTGTTGCTTTCGCTTAGTCACTACACATATGTCTATTGGTATTCTTACACTTTCGTATATTTCTATGGTTGTTATAATTAAATATGGCTACCTGAGATATGTGCAATAACAAACTCAACAGGACAAGCCATTCCCCTGCATTGATGTTGGCTAAAAGACGTAAATTCCGGTAAAATATTTTTTTGAATTTTAAATAGATTGCCAATGTAGCAGGCCCAAATTTTACAGTAGGGTAAAGATTCACTGATAATGCATATTTCAGCCCTCAGTTTTAGCAGCGAATTAATATCTATGCAAAAAGGATGGATAACATTAAGGCAGATAATATTGAAAATGCTACTTTATTAGCAACCATAAAAGGAGAGGTAGTATACAGTATTATTTAGTGAAAGGTGGCAGTTGTTTGCAACAATTCAGTTGCATAACAAGTGATATCATGTAATAAAGCGACACGCAACGAATTTTGTAATTATCATGATAACAACTACCGTGTGTTAACTATGTACCTAGAAGTTAGCTTACGGCCTTCTCAAGTAACTATGCCAAAAATATTCTGTGGTTATCTGAGAATTTATGAGACATATAAAAGCTGCGTTATTCCGAAGTATTTGTTGCCCCACTCTTGAATAATGGCATAAAAAATAATGGGGCCAATATCCATTGTTGTGTAGGAACACTTCTTCTGCCCATTTACCGGTTAAACATCTCCGCAGTTAACCTCTTTATAAGTATTGTTTCAAAACTAGATAAATGAGGAAGTTATTTCTATTTTATTACCTTTAGGAACATTTTTCATATTCATGTCCTGATATTTGCTGTTTAACTTCAGTCTCAATGATCGGTCATGATGCGTTAAATGACTCAGATAGTAATAAATTTGTCGAAACTCGTAAATATTTGTGGCAAATGCTCGTTATTTAATGCATTGATTACAGTATTCAGACGTGCTATACTAAGCATTGCTAAAAATTTCAAGCTGTATCAAATTTAGGAACTCACATTACGCTTCAAATTGTATGGATTAAAACAGGACTGCAAATTACATTGAAACACATGCACTATTTCCCCATATCAGTTTTCCACGAGCACCAGGACAAATGCCTGTTGACACAGGAGAAATTAGCAGAACAGTGTGCAGTGAACCAAAGCAATACAGTAAGGGAGGTGGTCGTTGCGTTGCAAGACCAGTCCAGCAAAGTTACATCAAATTCCGATGAGTACTTCAGGCTTATCAAAAATACTTTGTCTGAATACGAATGCAAGTAAGTCTATAGTTATTTATGTTGCAAACAATGGTCAAAAGCCAAAAGATTGTTTGGAAAGAAAAAAAATTAGTCTCTTAAAGCATACAGCGTGCGTTACGGATACATAAAATGGCAAAAACATTTACACGGAATGCAGGATTTTTGGATAATTATAAGGATCAAATCTGCCTGTACGAATCCCTCAGTAAATCAGACAAAATGCAACCAACCGACCTGGTGTAGCTATGTAAAGAAATCTGCAATAAAACTTAAGTATATACGTATTTGACGTCGCGCGTGTTTTAAGTCTCAAAAATGTAGATTAATCATAGTTTGAATTTTTACATGTAATGTTAGCATTTTCCACCCAAAAATGACGACATTATACGTCATTCCTACAACCCGATTACAAGCATGGTCTGCATATTCTCAAAAGCAATTCATCAACAAGAAAATTTATGCCCAAGTTAAAATAAAAGCCTCTCATATTGTTTTAGTGCGATTTGGCAAATTCCGTAGTCTCCACGTTTGATAAGGATCAAGTGTACGGGCTATGGCTCTATAATTTGGCTATTGTTTATATAATCTCAGAAACGAGCGCTAGGCGAGAAATGGTTTGTAAACGTTTGCTAAAGGCAATATACTTATTTTATTCCAGTTGCAGCATAAGGAAAATATTTTTCTACATAAGCACTTTTTAATTACTTGTATCTCTTCTTAGACAGTTATGCCCATAGTACGGTCGATTTCCCCTTAGTAACACTTTTACTTCACCGAAGGCTAAATGGAAGAATGTTGATAAATAATAACGTTCCGCTGCTGTGTCCTGTGATGAAATAGAGAAAGCTGCTGACTGTCAGTGATAAGCGCTGGAGGTCATTTTTTTGAATTCTGATGAAGCTAATGGATGCCGACGACTGACGAGGCACAACAGGTCAAAAACGCTGTTTTGTGTATTCCAGGCATGTAGAGGATTATCAGATGTGGTGGTTGATGCAACGAGCTCCTAGTTAATAACTTCTGAATTAATTTTATCTAGACTGCATTCGATGGACATCACAGGGCAGTATGAACACGCTACCGTCGTTGAATCCTTGTGGGAATCATCAAAGTTAAGCATTCCATTTGGAACTTGGAGGGTTCGATCCCAAAACTTGATATGTTTGAATACACTGACGTAGAAAGACGGAAAAGACGGTGGTGACCAAGATACTAGATATTCGTTTGCGCCGCTCACTATTCACTGAAATGCATTTTACTGCCGTGCCGAAAACAGGATAGCCCATCATCAAGTGACGAATTTAACAAATATTTGCGGCCAATAAACAGGGATTTGTAAGCCTTTTGGGGAGATGAAGGTTATAGATAGATATTCAACAAATGTGGACTCAGATATACAGCCCACACACGCCTGGAAATGCATGTTACGGCTGTTTCATTCTTTTGGGAATCTGTAGCTTTGATGGCAATATAGTTGAGTTTAAAATGGATAACATTCCATCTGTACCACTCAATACCCCACTATCCATAAATGTTAAATTGTTCATAAGTCAAGCAAGTTAAATCCAACCGGCGTGGACAAAACGAATTGCTTACTGTTCGCGTTCGTGACTGATTCCCCATCATCCAAAAGCACTATCCAACACTGACCTCTTTATTTTGACCCCAGAACCTCTGGGACAGTGTTGGCTGCAAGCAGAACGAAATATCTTTAAATGTACTAGTTATGTTCTTCTCTTCAACTTTGCAAACTACTGGTAACCTGAAGCCACTTACGTGAAGATCCTCACTACTAGACTTGGCGGTCGTTGGCTCCGCTGTAATGCTTCTCAGCCATTCTCCTTCTATGTAGATTAGCATCACTCGTCGCATGTCTGCTTGTTGAGGACAGAAATTAACGGATGTAATCTAGCAAGTAACACATACAAAGCTAAAGCAAGGAAAAATTAGTAAGTAGCATTGATGCACTGCCCAAATGATCGGACACTATCAAGAAGCGATGAAAACTGTCCCTTAGCTTTGATAGCCATAACGTTCTGCTGATACAAGCTAGAATACTAGCGCCCATAGTGGAATTATATGCATAGCTGGCGATGTGCTTGCACTACATCATGCGCTGAAATCGGAATTCAGCGAACGTACTTACGATCCTAGTTAGATTTAAGCGTTAACACCTATTGCTCTTTAAGAAAAATTCAATAAGTACAACCTGACATTACTTCATTACCATAGCTGTAAGGTACTCCAGCTGCGTTCAGCTACTTGCAGCCGATGGATAGAAGCAATTTTATGTGGAGGATGTGTAGGCAATCGCCATGTAATATTATTCAGTTAGATGAAAGGTTTCTATACGATGGAAAGCTATGCCACATCTCAAGCATAATCAGAAGTCTACCTAGAATGTATCACACACGTCGACACAGATTAGATGCCTCGGTGAACACAGTTGACATCGCAGACATTATCTAGAAAGCAAACAGCTGTTTTAAATATTAAAATCTTTTAGTGTTGAACGTCGTTAACGTTTTATCTCTGTTTCTACCCGCTACAGTGCCAGTTACGTACATTTCCTCCTATCTCAACTCGTCTACGCGCACAACAACACCTAGTCTGCCCGCCATAACTAGCAATGAAGTTGCCATAACGATTGCCGCGATTTTCCAGGATCCGGGATTGTCCTGGACATTCCTGGACATCCTGAATGAGGATCCATGAAACGGAGTATGTCGTAACAATCGTCTTCTGATGTATAAAAACCACAAAACCAGTACAAGTCAGATGCCATTGTTATTAGATTGCAATGGTATTACTGTTCTATGAAATTCAATGCTTAATCGCAATCAATTCTTACATGGCAAATCTGCCATGTTAATTGGATTTACGACTATGGTTGGCTCCATCAGGATCTAGGATTTCCCGTCACTGTGGCCTCCATTGTACAGCCACTAGACGCTTGCACCTACAGAAGGAATATTGATAGATTGTGCTGAACCACCTACAGCTGTATCCCCACGACTAATAACCTGGGTAAAACCGAAGGTATAAGACCGCGAGGCATGTGGATGTGAGCCATGTTGCATCAACGGAGCCGGCCCACACTCCCAGAGGCAATCACAAGCACTATGTATTGTTGAAATCAATGCACATAGGGGTGTTAGACCGCAGTCTTATTAATACTGGATAGAAACACTCTTCGAGCTTAACAAGGCCACGAGGATAGTGCACTATGTCCCCTAAAACAACGACCATTTTCTACTGGGGCCGGTATAGATGAGGTAGTGGATAACAGCAAGGTAGGCACATTGTCAACATGTATATCAAGCCCAGCCATACCGTGGATGTCATGCAACAGCTAATCACTTAAAATTACAAGAAAACATAAAATAGATCTAATAAAGCATACGGATATACCGACGGAACTATTCGCCAACAGCATATGAGATAGATTTGTTAACAAATCATCCTCGGTACACACTGCGTGGCAAAAGAAGACACAAAGTTACCGACGTAACAAACAAGATAATATAAGGGGAATTCAACTTTCATTTAAGTGACAGGTACAAGTAAAACTTGATTATTCATGTGGTACTAAATTTAGGTAAAAAAACATACATTACCTCAATATAGCAAACCAAACGCCTGAATTAAAGAAAGTCTGCTTCAAGCACTCTGTTAGTAAATCTATAGGTTGAATGCAAGGTAACTATCAACAATGTGCTGGTTCTACTTATATTATTAGAAGGAGCCGGCGTCCTCTTGAAGGTGGACCCGAGTGGCCTGACTCGTGGCTCACTAAAGCTGACTGACTCAGGCACTCGCGACAAGAAGTGCTACAGAACAATGTATTTTACGACAAAGGATAACACCCCATTATGGCCTGTCGCTTCCGCACCTGCCGAATCGTTTCTGAAATAAAGAGTGTGTTAATCTGCATTTTGGCAACTACCTTCGTGACCAGATCGATCCGAGCAAGCCGTCAAACCGCCTTCCATTCCCTACACACGACTCGGAATTAAAGCGTCTTAGGTCCAGTTTGTTCATATTCTGGTAGCGAAGCTTCCGTTTCCCCATTTGTCACTTTCGCAAAAACAGCAGACCATATAGCAGCTGCTGCGGTATCCGCGTCGAATCAAAAAGCGTCACACATTAATGTGCCACATCAAGTGTCAGCAAAAGAATGCAGCCGACTGGCATAAATTCCACTTCGCCACAACACCTCCATATCTGCAAATTTGTCTCAGCAAACGATGCGCAGCATTCGTCGCGGACCATTTTGGTGAAACCTTTCCAGATGTCATCCACATTTTGCTTCCAAATAGAAACACGGACTGCACCGTAGATATGTACCCAAACAGCTTCGTGCCAAAAGTCAGCTGGTGGTTGTTCTACACTCGTACACTAGCTTCCCGAATATCACTGCTGTCCACATTACGGTAATACGAAGCACATTGTATATTTTCCGGTTACACGAAATAACACTCCCAAGGTAGCAGAAGCGGGGGATGATTAATACTATTTCCTCACCAATACGGATTTGCGGCACAATTGCATGCTGGCTGTCCAGTGAAGGAAGAGAGAGTTTCGCTCGTGAGGATGGCAAGCCCGAATTTGGTCACTGTCGAAGTCACAACACTAATCATTTGCTGCAACTCATCCGCGCTATGGCAAATTGCACAGTAGACAGCGAAAACAACATACGGATATTTGTCTCAAATACTAGATTTCTCGCAGCGAAAAGAAGGATTTTCATATACCCACCATCGCTAGTGCGCTCTAAACGAACACCGTAAGCACAAGCAACATTAAACGCACACGACATCATAGCATGAAGATAAATATTAAATAGAGCTGGAGCAATGGCACAGCCTTGCTTCACACCGGAAAAAATGCAAGTAAACTTGCAAAATTACTCGAATAACCAAAGTTACACAAAAACAGGCACAATGCCTCGCGATTTACTGGATCAAATACTTTGGTGATATCAACAAACAGCGAGTACGACAACTGGTTTTGCAACACATC